CATCAGCTCTTTAGTTATATCTGACTATAGACATACATATGCAATTACCAGTTCTAAGTAAAAGAGTGGCTAAAAAATGCATTGAAGAGTTTAATCAGGATGAGTTTAAGCTACAGCCTGATTCAGAGATTAAATTTTTTGGCTCAGACTGCTCCATTAAATTGCGTGACTTCAAATTTTTGAAATATGTTGCTTTGCTTCTTCAGGGTAAGTGATGCGGTATCTATTGCAATAGCTTAAATGAATTTATGTAAAAAGGAGTGCTGTTTCTAAGCTGAAACCATGGTGGATAAGCACTATCTGCTAAGCAGTAATAACATCTCATCAGCCTGGACTGTGCTTTTAAAAGGGTTGGCCTTGTCTTCAATTTTCTGGACTTTGGCTAAGAAAAAGATAAATCCAAGTTCTGTGGTTTAACCTGGCAGGTAGCTAAACATCACACAGCCATTTGCTCACTCCCCTTCTGCCCCCACAGTAGGATGGGGGAGAGAGCCGGGGGAAAAAAAAGTAAAATATGTGGGCTGAGATAAAGACAGTTTAATAGGACAGAAAAGGAAGGGGAAAAAAATCATAAAAGAATATACAAAATAAGTGATGCACAATGCAATTGCTTACCACCCGCCAACCAATGCCCAGCCAGTTCCCAAGCAACGGGCCCTTCCCAGACAATGCCCCCAGTTTATACACTGAGCATGACGTCATATGGTATGGAATATCCCTTTGGCCAGCCTGGGTCAGCTGTCCTGGCTGTGCCCCCTCCCAGCCTCTTCTGCACCCCGCGGCCGCCTTACTGGCCGGCCAGCACGAGAAGCTGGACAGCCCTTGACTGCTTAGCAACAGCTAAAAACATCAGTGTGTTATCAGCATTGTTTTCATCCCAAATCCAAAACACAGCACTATACCAGCTATCAGGGGGAAAATTAACTTTATCCCAGCCGAAACCAGGACACAAAGTTTTCCTGGTTCTCTGTTTTCTGAGTGTCCTCTTCCAGTGGCAAAAAACCTTGAATTGCCTTAACGAAGTTCTGTGTGTTGTTTCCTTTACAAATTGTATCTGTACAGTTACGTCTTTGAAAAGGTTGATTATAACCAGTTTTTCAAAATTTATAACCAGTTGTTAAATTTGATTGTTATCTGTGAAAAGCCTTCTTAGAAAAGATTATTTACATTTAGTAAGTCAAATAACCTACTGAACATACTAGGTGCATGTCCTCTGATAAGCTACTCTAGAAGAGGTAACTTGGTATAGGAAGATCTCCATAGCGAGCATTCCTGTAGACTCCTCTAAGGGTCCTTCATCAGATGTCTGCAAGACTGGTAATTGGTACTCAGACCCAAAATCCCATCTTCCAGCTGGAACCAGCTGAATGCTTTCACTACAAGTTTCTCCTTAGTTTTAAACTCAAAATGAGATTGCAAGATACTTTTTCTATGTGCTTCAGTTTGTTATATGTAAGGGTGAAAAGCTTCAACCTGCAAATAGACATGATTGGTCTGGTGTAGCTATTTTTCTCTTTCTGCATAGCATCCAACACAACCTAAAGTGATCTGCAAATGGAGACAAAATGCCTCTGAATGCATCACAACCTTAAAAGCAAAGAGGAGACACGATACTCTGAATGCAAGTGATTAAGAGATGTGCAGCACTGATCTGATTAGTTCCTTATTTCCCCATCCCTCCCAAGAGTCAATCTACAGATGGTAAACTGTGAGTTGGACTATTGAGTTGTTGGCTTAACAGCTCTCTTCCAATCCATATGTGGCAGGATGGGTCCCACTGTTGGTGGTGAGTCACTGATATGCCAAGTCCAGTCCTTTCGCTTCCTGTGGGCAGCTGATGACACACAAATGATTTAGGGGGCAGCTGAGGCACCTCTGAGGCTATTCCAGACTTACTTATTGTGCTCGGAAACCCAATTCAGTCAGGGCTTTCAGAGTGAGGTGGCAAATGTCCTCAGTGACCAGCTCCTTACTGTAGTCTTAAAGGGCATGTAATGCATACATGCTTGAAAAATATGTTCACAGTCATATGGAGAAGAGGTAGCTCCATAATGGAAGGCTCCTCAGATAAAAGATTTTTTTCTTTTTTAATCACTTCCCTTTGCAAAGTCAAGGGAATGGATCACCATCTTAGGTCCCACACAAATCTAGCTCTAGGTCATCCTCAGCAAAAGTAATGGGAAATGAATTGCCAGTGCCCTTTCATAATTACAAATCCTTAATTAAGGAAGGGTACAAGTAGGCACTTAAAATTCCAACCTCAGCAAGTAGCAGACTCCACTACTTGTGAGAATAAAATATAACTTGTCAGAATAAAATTGTTTTTTTCATTAATGTGGTTGGTAGTATTCAAAGACTTAAAATTAGATAAAAGACATTGTTCGAGGGTGGAAGAAGATTATCTTACTCCTTAAAACTGTGTGTGAGGGCCAAAAACTTTGAAGATGATGTCAGGCTTTTTTTTTTTTGCTTGATTCTGTCTTGACTTACAATCATTTTAGAAGAAGGTAGAACAGCTAATTTAGTCTGGTGATCCCTTCATCCTCTTTCTGTGAAAGTTTAATTTCCAGTTAGTGAAAACAGACCCCACTTTTTGGCTCTTGGGTGAATACGGAGGTTTTTATTTGGGTTTGGAGCTCGCCTGTTGCTATGGCAATTTACTGAGCAGAAGCTTGTGTGCAGTGTCAAGTGGATTTTAAATAGAGAAAAAGGTCTTAAAGAATATTTCTGGGCATCTGAACTATTATTGAATACCAACTTATCATGAGTTTATGTGAGTGTACTTTTAATTAGCAAGAACCTAGAGTGAATAGAAAATACTGTATACATACACATTTTTAAGCATTTTGCTAGACGGGGCTCTTACGTGTGCTTCTTTTGTATTTTTTTCTGCTTTTCAAGTTTATGACGACTTCTTGAAGCCCAAAGTACTGTTTTGTTGCCATCAAAGCATTCTCTTCTTCATTTCCAAAGTAGGACTTCTACACAAAGGAGCAACACACTGTCTTGCGTAAGCAGTAAACTGGACCGTGAAGGGGGAAAGATTTGCATCCCGATTCTCTACTTCTATATCATGCACGTTGTTTACACTCGTCTAGATAAATGTAAAAACAAAGAAGCCACACTGTTTTTTGTACTGACTAAAACCAGCAAAATACTAGGTATTTCAGGAACAGTAGATGTGCAAATAAAGCTCACCAAGAACAGGTCACAGAGAAGTGAGCATAAATATCTTTATGGAGGTCTTTATTCCTTTAAATACAGTATTACTTTCCATAAAGGCATTCAGAACGGAATTCGAATGAAGTCTCTTTTCCCTTTAAAGCAGCAATTCCTAAATGAAAAAATGAACAGTATTCTTATTTCTGCTGCTTTTTTTTTTTTTTTTTTCCTGTGGCTAAAGTCTCTCAGTTTCTGCCTGTTTACCACATACAGATTGTTTTACGGTTTGGGGTTTTTTTATTGGTAAGCTAAGCAAAATTTTTACATTAAACTGCATAACTGTCTTTGCGTACAGTTCCATGTAAAACATGAAATGGTATAACTGAAACAGTTTCCCCACAGAAGTAATTAATTTCAAAGGGAAAACCAAAAATTAGGTTAATTAGATTCCTATTAATTACACCTCTCCGTCAAAACATAGAATGCTAAAGCCTTGAGCAAGTGGTATTCTTCCTCCTTGTATTTACAAATGTCTGAGTCTATGTTCGTCAGGTCTTTAGCAGTTTCCTCCCACCTCCACTCACTTTGGTTTTTCCTAGTGTAATGTTTCTATTTGTAACCTCATGTCTACGATGATGATGATGGTTCTCTGTGGTGGTTCAAGACTTGATAGCCACAAAGGCAAAACCCAGTTTCACTGCTCAGGGTTAGGCGTGGGGCCAGGCTAGTGTCGCTACAGGAGGGAAAGCAAGAAGGAGTAGGGTTGGGCTCCACAGAAGAGGACGTGTGTTGGCAAGGGGAGAGGCAGGAAGAGGCAGGCTTGCTCTTACAGCTGCTGCTGGGAGGGTGCTGAGCTAAAATAAAGACCGCTGCTTCCTCAGAGCAGCGTTTGGCCCTGCGGCTTCCCCCAGCCCAGCAGCAGCAGGCTGTTGTCACAGCAGAAAAATCAAATGAGCTTTTGCTGAGCTCTGATAGAAATACATACAAGGGAATGAAATCCAGGGTCTCTTTTGCCCCCAACAATTTCTCACCTGCTCTCTGTGTGCAGAGGCCCTGATCCTTGCACCTGTGCTCAGAAACCTTTGGCTCTTGGCTGCTCTTCTTTTTCTTAGTCACATTACAGATTTTAACGGAAGGGGGTTTGTTTTTTTTAATTCCAGTAAATCTCCTTGTGAGTTGCACCATTAAGTTTGTTGCTTCTGTGCTAGAACAGTAGTATTCTGTGACTTTGGATAGTAAAATATTTACAAAATAAAATAATGGCTTCTTGGAGGCCAGTATAATTCTCTACCACTGTACCAGGTTGTGAAGGAAGTTTTTTTGCTTGTTAGTGCCAACTAGCCTAGACAGTTACTTGCATTACATTGAACATCACAGAAAAAGTTGTGGAGTTGTCCTCTCAATGCATATCTATCAACGGTGATAGTCTTAGCATCAGTCAGAACCTATTTTCTGCTATTGGTTTATATTAATTTTATTTAGAAGGAAGAAATTTGAAGTCCAAGCTCTAAAAAAATGCATGTAATACTCCTTCATTCCACATGTGGTTCACAGCCTACATAGGTCTAGATCATAACCAGCTGCTCAGTTTCCAGGCTTAGCTCTTGAGAAATTTCCCGTGTTGTTGTGACTACTTGTGTATTCAAAGCTATACTCCCACTGCAAAAGTGTGCAGGTATCATTCAGCCCCGTTTACAATGTAGTTGTCTTTTCCTCACAGAAACAGCTTTATTAAGCACACCAATGCTGTGAAATGTTTTGGGTTTTTTTAAAAAATGAAAACCATTTAATATTTTTTACAGATGTGTTAATTATTAGTAATTTGCTTTTTTTTGTAGGAGTTCTCTGGAATCTATCCTCCTGTGATGCACTGAAAATGCCAATCATCCAGGATGCCCTCGCGGTGTTGACCAATGCAGTGATCATCCCTCACTCTGGATGGGAAAACTCTCCGCTCCAGGATGATCATAAAATACAACTCCATTCATCACAGGTGCTGCGCAATGCCACTGGGTGCCTAAGGTGAGCACTGCAGGATATTTGCTTTGCCTTAATCATCTTGCTTTGGCTTGAGTTGTAATTTCTCATTCTTAGGCATCTGTAAATTAAATAATTGGTTTGTGTGTCAGCAAAGACGACGACTTTCAGTGCTATAAACTTAAAGTTGGAAAATAATTAGAAAACAAGCTTCAGGCCATTCAAAAAATAATCTCTAGAAGTGCTGCTGTGGGTTTTCCTTTTTTCTTACAGCTTTGACCAATCTTCTCATCCAAGCTTGTATATTACAGATGTTTTCTCCTTGTAGATTTGTCCCATTTCCCCAGTTGCTTAAGTGAAGTCAGTATGTTCTCACTATTACACCCAATTTAATCAGCACAAAAAATAATGAAGATGCTCACAAAAAGTAACATGCCTTACGGGTTCCAGATGCCATTGTTGGCAGCTGGAATAAAAGTGGATTTGTTCTGCTCTTTGAAGATGAGAAATGGATTTCAATAAGAGACCAACCAATTTAACACTGTGCAGCTAGAATACTTAAATAGCTCCTTAACAAGTATGGTATGTTTTTATACTTATATTTGTATGCCAAACTTGTATATGCAACACCAAGGTGCACTTACATAAATGTGTGCAACATGATCTGTCTGTTCCTAAAAATCACTGTAGATGTGAGAATGAAAATAGGATGAGTTAGAAGAGTTTCAATTCTGACAAAGCCTTACAAAAGGATTGTCATAGCAATTTTTGAAGTCCAATCCATATAATTTTTTTGAAATACCTTAATGTATTAGGCAATTTTTAATAAGCATTGTCTTTTTTTCTCCTTGTGTATTAGAGATTCTGTAATTTATCTCAGAGACATGAAAATTGATCAGTTAATATTTTTACATACATCACAGGAAAATTGTTAAGCGAGTAGTATGTATCCGTAATACAATCTATTTGTATGCTGCATCCAAAGCAGATATCCGTCAAAGAGCTAAAAAAAGTAAAAAAACCACATTGATTAGAAGGCAAAGAAAAATACCAGTATTTTTTACATATCTGTAGCAAGCACCTTTCTGGTTTTGTGCTGTTTCATCACATGAAATGACTCCTTTTCAGAAGTAATATCTGAAAAGTTTAAGGGAAAAAGTAATAATTATTATTGATTTTTTATATGTAATCGGAAGAGAAGGAAATATAGATCCATACTGCAAATATACTTGTATTGGACTTAAATGCAGGTATGTATATGTGAACACAAGCTATGTTGGGATATGTGACTGAAGCTAGGTATTTGTACCTCAGCTGTATTGATTTTGAAAAGAGTTTGGTAGTATAATTGTGTTGCATTACCTTCAAATTACTAGAAGAAAAAGTTACTCAATCACTGTGACAGAAGTCGTTCCATAAAGATGTGTACTATGTTATACTTCTCACACTTCCAGTGTTTAACCTGTATCGGTTAAAGAGCTGCCTCTGAAAGAAGTGTCCCTTATAAATTCGGGGCTTCACGGTGCCCCTTCTCTGAATGGGCATGTCCAGTGTTGGTCTTCCCACACCATAACCTCTATCTTCCTGTTAATTTTTCCCAACTGATTCTCCAGGACTGATGTCCATCCCTGATCCCTGCAAACCTCAGTTCATCCTACCTCATAATTGATGATTCATTGCACATTGGTCTTGAAATCTTTCTTCTTTGTGTTTTGTTTTTTTGTGGGGTTTTTTTGTGAATGTATGTGCATGCCCATTTGCAAACTGATGTGAGCTTACTGTAGCCTGCACTGTGGGTCAGCCTGAGGACTTGTGGCCACATGGGAATGGTACATTGCCTGATCTAATACACACTGCTTTGCAGCAAGGCTTACTACCAAGTGCTTGATGGTATGCTGTCATAGCAGAATGGCTTCTGGTCAGCTCATGCAAAATAAGCTCATATCTGCCTGCAAAAGACTGTGCATATTATATTTCTTCAATCCTTCCCAGGTAGCTGTAACAGCAGCTCAAACGGCTGTCCTGAGCAGGTTGGTCTTCTTTCTAAACCCAGGTCCTTCAACCATAGTATGACTTTTTACTATCCTTCTGATATCAAACCTTCCCTATTTTCCAGATGCATCTTTCTGTCCTCTCTGACAGCTTCAGATATTTATTTGGCCTTCATCCATGTTCTTTAGATAATTTTATCCCACTTAGTCTGTGTGAATGCTCTTTAGCAGAGCCAGAACATTTGCAAAGGGTTGAGCTTGCTTTTGCTTCACACCAGCGGGAACTTTCTTGTTCACCTTTCCCCAGTTGCTGTTGAAAATGCCTCTCTCTGAAAAAAATGTTGGGTTTCAGTTTGTGCAAGGGAGAAAAGTGTAAGTTGATCTGTAAGATGAACTGTATTCTTGTGTTGAATTCATGTAAGATATGATGGGGCTATAGGCTGGAGGAAAAAACAGCAAATGTCAGAAAAGGTTAGAAAGCTCTGTGAGGATGATTGGAGTAGTGCATGCTCTGAGCAGGTAGTACCTTAGCTACCATTCCTTAAATACCCACCACCAATAAACACTCTCACACTTTCCACTTGTGACTAGTTCCAAGCCTCATATCTCCATTTCTAGGTCTCACTGGACAGGGGAGGTGATGTAAATCAAGAAGATGTAATGTCGTTGATGGTCGAGGTACTGCTGTGTGTATCTGGCAAATGGGAAGTCCGTTGTTATCTTCCATGGGAGAATTTCTTCTAAGACTCTGGTTTGGTTGTTCTCTGCTGTTTTCTTTCTCTCCTTTTGCTAGAGCTGGTTTTTGAAGGGCCATTGGTTAAAATTCAGTTGCATCAGGATTTTCGGTGACAATGCTTAGAATCATAGGAAAAGTAGTGGTGTTCAGAATACTTGACAAATGTTTCTGAATCTGTAGTGTTGACAGATTTTAGAGACATCAGGTTGTATTACGTAAGGTTTAATGATAGCAAATATGCCACAAGGATTTGGGTTTTTTTGTGCAGTTTTCTGTGCCTTTAGTTTTCTGATGCATCCACGGCTGAAAACTTTAAATAGTATCTGAGAGGTGCTGTAATATAATCCATCCCACATACAGTGCTAATAAATAGCTTGCAATGGCCATTACATAGGAATAGTTAGATCTTTGTTTTGTGGTTTTTTCACTACACTATGGATTATTATTTTTTCTGCTGGTCTTCCCTTTTCTCAGTTTCTTGATGAGAGTTTCTTATGCTTTTTCAATTAAAAAGTTGCTTATTAAGTACGATTTCTAGTACTCTTATCTGCTTATTCATTATCATTCTTAACCAAGTTCTTAAGTCTACAAGTCAAGTCACACAGTAATCCAGCTGAAATCAGTATGAAATCATATGAAAGACAGCAGCATCAGGCCTACTTTTCCTTTTATTTCCTTTTTTTGTTAAAGACGTTAGTTACAAACTGCACTTAGTATGCTTTTGTAGTTTGGAAAAAGAAAACAGCTTTGGTACAGTACCAGATTACAACTAATCTCTTGTAACTTGAATACTTTGAAATGGCTTAGATAATTCAAAGCCTTAAATACAGCGTTATACCTCTCACTTACAATTTAATCTTAATATTCATCTTTCATAAATTGCCAGACCTCAGTGTGATGTGTGTTAGAGTAAACACCCAATTTACTTGGCTCCTGACTGAGGTACTAGTACCTTACCTCATTAAGCTCTGTGAAAGTTTGACTTCTTTTTTTCCTTTTGGATTTCAGCTCTGACTGCTTTATTTGTGTTCGGGAAATACTGTATCTTTGGTTTAGAGTTTCTGATTCATTTAGACTTATTAGGGAAAGTCAGGTGAAAACTGAATTTGGAATCCCAGTTGTTTATAGTGGAGGGTTTACAATCCTCAATCTGAAATTTAAAAACCAACAGGAGGCTAAGCATCAAGCTTACTGTGGTGGGTTGACCCTGACTGGTCAAAAATCTTTTCAAGAGTTTTTGTCCTGATGTTCAGTCTAGAAACTTGGTTTTTTCTATGAATTGAAGATGAAGTTAAGTTGATAGAATGTCATCTGAGCATTTTAAAGAATTTTAAGAATTTACTGCATTTAAGATTCTAATCTGGGTTTAGATTCAAAATCATAAAATGCTGAGTTTTATTTCTTCCATGTTTTAGTTAATTTTTCATCATTCGGTGAAGGTACAGGGGCAATTGCTGAAATCAAAAAGCTATTAAAATATTTATCTTCCCCCCCTTAGTTGAGGAGATATTGTATCAGAGAGTAACTCAAGTAGTTTTTGTTTATAAAGCCCCATACCTTTCAAATTTTCATACTTTTATACTTGTCAAACCTTTCACAAAATACCAGTAATTATTTTTCAGCTGAAAAAAATATGTAGCAAGCTCTGAGAGTAGAAAAGCAAAAGAGGAAAAGTTCTCTTAAAACATGAATTGAATGTAACAGACCCAGTAGTATTTTCTGGGTATATCAACTTTTGGAAGGAACAAATTACCTCATTAAAACAATTTGTGTTAACTGTAAAGCCTGACTATCAAATGGTTTTAACTGTTTTGTGGGTGAATTCTCTGTTTCACAGACATTTACAGCTAATGCATTTATCCCACCATCTCCTCCAGTTCTCTTCTAAGCATCCAAAGTCTATTGATGCCTATTCTTAGGAACTTCTGTGATCTGTTTTGAATATAATATTCTGCTGCACATGGCACAAGATGTGGGAGCAGCATAAAATAAATAGCACAGACTGTATTATTCATCATCCGTTTAGTTTCTAAAGAAACATACATATATATGAAGAAACATTCTTATATATTTATGTGAAACATGTTTCTTAAGAAACTAAACTGATAGATGTATGTGTGTGTGTATGTGTGTTTACCTGTATATACATACAGATATGAAAGAGCGTATTACTGAGGCCAAAATATGTTTCTGTCTTTACTGACTGGTGCAAACGGTGAATGTCTTCGGTTGGGTATAAACAGAGCTGGCTTCTTACAGTAGGACCAGGACCTTTGCTGCTGATTTTATGATTCTCCTCCTGTGAACAGGACAGTCAC